GCTGCCTCGGTGCCTCTGCCCTGCCCGGGCCGGCTTCCCTCCGTTAGTGCCTGACCGCCCCGCAGCCTGGTCGCTGCGTGCTACGCCGCCTGGAGCTTCCTAATAAGGCTGAGAAATTAAGGCTCGGGTGTAAGAACAGGTCAAAGTTAACAGTTTCACGGTATGCCGGTTTTGTAGCTGAACTGCCAGGTGCGGCTCGATTAACGTAGATCCTCATGAGATCCGTGGGCTGGGGTAAATAAAAACCTTCCCCCGCCGAAAGAAGCCGTCTGTGGGCGGTTTGGGACGTGCCGTCGGGGAGAGGTGAGGGTCGATGGCCGCGTCGCGCCTTCCGCAGAAGTCAGAAGCGAATTCCCCGTGTCAGTGGAAATCTGCGTGCGGTTACCTGTTGAATTGTGTGACTTCCATAGTGATTTTAGCACCTTAAGGAGGCACTCTCAACTTGCTGTGGAATTTTGCTTTTTTGTTTCCAGTTTTGAAAGCTCTATATTAAGAAAATAAGATTTCCAGAGGTCATTGAATACCTTTTTTAATGCTAAAGTGTACTCCCATGGAACATGTCCTGGGCTGGAACAGCGTATAAGATCATTCCGTTCAAAAATCCTGAGCCACGGCTTAGTGTGGTCAGTTTGCATTGCCACGTTACACGTGCTCTTATCTATTTATATTTCAAACTTCATAAAAAAAATACAGGATCTTTTATCCTTAAATGATAGTATAACAACACATTCCTCGTGCACTAGCACAGCCTTGCTCTCAAGAGTGTCTAAAAGAAAAAAAAAAAAGGCCAGGGGGGATGTGTAAAACACATGTACTGTGGTCCTTCTGTTACAATCTTAATCTTCTCCGTGTTTTATCATGCGTTCACCACGTAAGTAAAAAATCCAGTAAGATTTCAGTAGATAGTGTGAGTTTGCTGTGGGGAGCGGTTATGTTTGCCCGTGGTAGATGGCTGTTGAAAGGTGAGCCCGGCTCAAATAGTGCGTATCTTTACGGGAGCAAATAGGTTCTGACCACGTATACAGATCACTAGCGCAGCCCGCGCAGCGTGGAGTTGCTCTGCTTTCGTAGGGAGGGGAGCAGAAGCTGAGGCAGGCAGGCCAGGAGCTGGCTGACGGCAAGGTAGCTGGAGCCAGAGCTCCGGTTGGACACTGTCTTAATTTAAACTTCAGTGGTTGTGATAGTTCTTTGCTAACAACTTGGGCTTTCATAAACTTGGAGGGTAGGGAAAAGTTTGTCTGGGTATAAACACATACCACATGTGGTCACATGGAGGGGGAAAAAAACAAACAAAAACAACAAAACAGTTGTGAAGTAAAAGAGACTATCCAGAAAAAAAATCTTTCTTCAAAACTCAGTCGCCCGGTATGTTTCGGTTCAAAAGATTTTGTGGTCACCTGGCTTTTTAGAAGAGTGAGATTAACATCATGAGTGCAGATGAAGCAGTTTGGCTTTTTGCTGCTTTCATTTAATTTATGAACCTTCATTCTCTTCACAACTGGAATATCTTTCTTCATTTGGTGCTTCTGTTTCACATTAGATCTCTGCATTGGCTTCTCCCCTTCCGCATATTTCTAAAACTGCTCCTTTATCCCTTTTGCTGTTCTCCTGAACGTGGCTTACTTCCTG